AGTGCTCATGTGTCTTTCTGCAACCCCCTTTTCTCTCTCTCAATGATATGCGGACAGCAAATCTTACCTACCATCTGAAAAAAAGAATTGGGGTTATTTTCACAAGCTGAAGGACAAAGAGGTTATCCCAAGCTCCTTCTACCAATGGCAGTAGGTCAGTTATAATCAGTTTCAGTTCACTGCTGCTAAAGACATAAAACTTCCTCCCTTATTTGACTATATTGACACTAAATTTTGCCGCTGCTCATGAGATGTAGGTCACTAGGCTCCCTTTTTGGTCAAGGACTAAGGTCAATACCTTTACCAGTGACATTTATGGTCAGCTTCACATTTAAACTTTTATCTCTTAGTCATGGGTTTCTCTTCATTAACTGCAGTCATTCGCCAACTGTTTCCCAATAGGGTTAGGATACCAGGTTCACTTGACATCCATGCACTTCTCACTCAGCTACATAAGTTACACATTTTTCGAGACAGTTTGCCATTTCAAGAAATCTTTGCAGCCCTCCTTTGCAGCATCGGACATACTGCCTACTCATCTCGCTGCATTAACTTTTCTCCCAGGTGGGCTATTTTTGTTACTTTTAGAATGCTACTAGTAGAGTTTTATATCTATGTTTTTCCAAAGCTCCTTGAAGCATTGCTTGTTTGTTTCCTTTGGTTCAAGCATATTTTTGAACTCCTCTTTTTCCCCCCTCAATATTTTCCTGAGGTGCCAGAACAACTTGAAAAAGCACAAAGGAAAAGTGCTTCTCATATCAAATAGTGAGTGAAGAAAAAAAATAAATAAATATTTTTTTTCTTTTTTTTTTTTTGGTAAAAGCAACTTACAGCCCTACTATCAAACCCAGAAAAATACTCAATGTCAACTATTTCCGTAAAATCATCCCTCAAAGTTGGTGGAAGGTTTTTCCTTTTCATACATTTAGAAAGTACACTAAGTATTCAACTTTTCTAATTTTTTTGTCCTCTAGTTATAATATTTCTCCCTTTCTCGGCTGCTTCCCAGAGTAGTGAGCCTTCTAGATTTTTCCCAGGAGCATGAGTAACGGTTGGACAGTTGGGATCTGAACCCTGCATCGCTGCTGTAGACACCTCTCCATGGAGCTGAACGAGCCATGCTCTCCGGAAGATCAAGGGGCCTTGTTTGTGTCCAATGAGTGTGTTCTTTGGCTCAGACCAAAGCTTTGGTATACTTTAAGCCCCAAAATGGGTACTTATCCTATTCCAAGGGATCTTTTTCAATCAGTTGTTTGCCTGCTGTTAGCTGACATATTCCCTTACTAGTTGTAACAATCACTATCAAATGCTTTGAGTTTCAAGATTTGCTTTCTTGGTAGCTGCTCTCTCAGAGCTAATGTCACCATTCCTGTTAATCCACTGCCTTTTGCATCTGTTTCTAATTAAAAATTAAGGAAGCATTTATCTGCTTTAATCCCATTCACCATCCGCTGCTCTTAAAGGGGTCCCTCCCAGTTTGCAGCGCTCCCGTGAACAGGCGGCTCCGAGAACGAGTGCACGCTGCCGACTCATGCTATGTGATGAACTCACTGCTGGCTCTTCTACTTTGTTTGAAATGCCAAACACCACCTCTGCCTAGCGTGTATGTATCCCCGGATTGTGCAAGCCTTCCTCTTTTTCCTTTATCAAATCCTTCAAACATTGTCCATCTCCTGTACAAGCCAGGTGAAGCAGTGTGTCCCTGTCATGACACAGATAATGCCAAAGAGCTTTCTCCCAAGTCTTAGTGATGGTGTGGTCTCTCCCCAAAGGGAAAGATGGCATTTCACCCATAAAACACTGACAAATTTCCTTGTTATCATTTTCTTTTTGCACAACTAGTTTAACAGCTCAAAGGTTTAATTTCTACATGGAATATAGCTCTTTGCAAATTACTGTAATACACTTTAAAGATTAATTCCATCTATCCAAGTTAAATAGAAATACTGAAACCCACCAAGTATTCAGATCTAGCTCTGGTCAGAGAGGCGGCTATCAGAAAGGAGGCTATTTTCACACGGATATTCCTGGCTTTGCTTTCTTGAAGATACTGAATTACAAGCTATTAAAACCTTCTTCATTCGTCAGTCATGGCTCCAAAGGTCTGAAGCACAGTTTCTGAATCTCACCCTGCTCTTCTACTTATTGTTTCCCCGAGTTAATCCTGTTCATGGTACCACACACTGTTCAGTTATTACTCATCACTCGGGGAGGTGAGGCCCAGCTATGCAGCCTTACGTAAACGTGAATCTCTGTGAAAGACAACCAGAGATCCTCACTGTCTCACACCAGAGCATCGCAAAAGTCTGAGATTCTTTGCATTTAGGGAATCCCAGAAGTTCAAATACATGTAAAGCTCCAAGCAGGAGGGAGAAGGTGAAATGACAGAAGAACAGAGATGAAGGGGAAGATTAAAACAAAACAACAACAAAGAGAAGAAAGGGACAGAGAGCTGGAAGTATGGGGAAGATGGACAAAGCAATAGAAGATGAGAATAAAATGGTAAAGATGAAGAGAGATAAGAAAATGTGGGGTAGACACCTTTAGCTCCAACAGCCTACAAAGTCTTTACTTGATCAGCAGATCCTTGTAAGAAAGAACGCTGCACTACAGAAAAGCTAACAAAAAGTTAACTATCTGCTGTTGTCATCTGGACTTTTCAAAGTTTCTATTTATGAAAAGTACACAACGTAAATGCACAGTTTCAGACAATCACGTAAACAGCGGCTATTTCTAATTAATGTTATTTGCAAAAATGTAGGAAAACACTGTGATCCCTCTTTTTTACTTCTCATAAATGAATCACTGATAATGGCCCCGCTACGTAATTAACATCACACTCCTACAAAATCAGCAAAAGTCATCTTGACAATGAGGCTACTTCCCACCACATGTGAAATAAGTGGGGCACAGACTCATGTATCTTCCTGTAGCTCTCATCTTCTTAGTCTGAATCCTGCTTTAGGCTGCAAACTGTGTTTTAAAACAGTTTCAGACAGATACTCGATCACTTGGACATGGGATTAAACTAGCAGCACAAGTGTAGGCAGTCAACTACAGATCTCGAGACGCAGGTGTGAATACACCTTTGGTCCCCTGAGATGGCTGAAAGCCCTCCATCTCGCACCCTGCTTGCACGCTCTATATTTTGAAATATATGACAAAATGGACATAGACTTTCAAGTCAATCAGTGATGCACAATTAAAAATCTGCATTTCATTTCCAACAGTATCACTGAGCAGACCCTACAAGAGGCAATTTTCAGGTCACAAGCATTATTACCACCAGTGCATCTAAATATAGATACCTTTTAAAATGTATTAATCCCTCCTTGAAAACAACACCTGCTTGAAATAGTTTACCTTAGCAGCTTTTGTTCACTGGGTGAGGCTTCTTCTACGCTATGGTACCTCTGACACCAAAGCTGAGTCTGAATAAGTTCACTGACAGCACACTGGCATGCTAGCTTGAGACCAAAACCTGCCTTGTGTGCATCATTTTCCAAGAACAATCCACAACAAAACCAGAAGACAAAACATATGCACTTGACTCTGCTCTGGACAAGCCCTGCTACAGTGACCAGCCACCGTCTCTGCAAATCTAACTAGATAAAGGCTATCAGAAACCACAACCTTTTTAGAAAACTCAGTTAAAAAGAAATCAATTTTCCATGGACATAACAATATTACTACTTTTTTTTTTTTTACCTCAAGTAAAACAGCAACCACAAACACTTATCATGTAAACACAGATACAGAAATAATTCATTATGGATTCTATTTATAATTAGCTTTTTAAAAAGTAATGCTAAAATTTGAATTGCATTAAATATTCTTATTCTACACTTGTCAATAAATCTTCATGTGATACACCTATGTCTCTATAGTTCTCTATAGCTCCTCATATCTACCTATTTAATAAGCTGTTCTCTCTTCTTTATTGCAACAGTAAACATATTTCTATTTCTTGTAAAATCGAAAATATATGGCAAAAAAGTACCACCAGATTCTAACCTTGATTGCTATCCATATATAAAGCCATATTCTCTCCCCTCCTCCAGTTTACAGGCAAACACACTACCTTTTTCAATTTTATCTTCTTATGTATCTACACCCTTATATTAGTCTAAGTATTCTTTTTTTGTCACTGATGGTAGTATCTGTTTTCATTTTGTTGTTGTCAATATGTCAATGAAATCTAAATATAAGAAAAGGAAACTAAAATTGCTTTTTACTACCACATTTCAAATATTATTAGGGAAAAAATACCTATTTTTATTTTAATCTCCTTCATACCACGATTCATAACCTAGCCACTGAATATCACCATTAAACATCTAAATCTGTTCTTTATTTCTTCCTGACTAAGTTCAACTGTCTTATCAATGAAACTTCATCAAGAGCATTTTAAAGAGGAATCATAGAATATCTCGAGTTGGAAGGGACCCATAAGGATCACGTCCAACTCCCAACTCGCCAAAATAATACTTTAATCTGATGGGTAGCTTTCAAACAGTTAACAGGCACTATATACTGTAACCTGCAACATAACTTATTGCTCAGATATATTTGCTGAAAAGGTTTTAAATCTTGAACAGAGTCTTTAAGCACTGAACTCAGTATTTGAATACAAATGTACAGAATTAAATTAATTTTCAAATACTACACCTAATACTGTGAAGAAGCCTTCACCTACCACCACCACCACACATCTCTTGTCACCTGTGTTAGCACATTTTTGGAATGATCGTGAAGTCACGCTCCTTTTTCTTGCGAGACAGAGAGAGAGTTTGACTTGCGCTACATGGACTACATAGTTTGGGCTATATATGCAGGGTGACAGCTATAACACTTTAAAGCTACTGTTTTAGGGCTAATTAATACATTAATAGAAGAGAACTTCCATCCTTCAGGACACATATTGTAACACACAAAGTCATTTCTTTCCACCTGTCTAGACTGGACTTGGATGTAATTTCCTTAACAGCATTTATGCATACCATCTTCATCTGTCTGGATAATGGTCTCCTCGCTCTCCTTCCTCCCTTCTGGGTTGGTTAAGATCATTTTGTTGTAGGGAGGCAGGTGATCCACAACATGCTGGGGTGCTTTGGGGTCCATGTCCAAGCAGTCCGCCTTGCTCTCGTTGTGTCCGCAGAAGTAGTGGTAGCATATAGTGACATTGAAAGTGTGGCAACGAGTGATGTTGTAACCCAGAGATTCCCAGTCCACAGCAATATGTCTGGCCTGGATCTCAGCAATCTTCAACGTTTTCGGTGTTCTCATAGGTTCTAGAAAACAGAACATAATGAAGAAAAACATCGTTAACGTTCTTCATCCTTGCACTGAATTGTAACTGGTAGATGATGCCTCCAGGAATGTGAAAGCAAACGTTACCCAACAAACATAGACTTATTACTGGAAGAAGTATCATCCTTTGTACAACTACCCTGAAGGGAAAAAACGTGCCAGTCTGTTTTTTTACTTCATTCTTCTCTGTTCTCTCTTTGCAGGTTTCAATCACTGATTGAGACTTAGCAACAGTGAGAAAAAAAATTGTTAATTAACAGTGCAGCGATTCAAAGCAATTGAGAACACAGGCAGCAGATGCATGGAGAGTGACCAAAAGGCCATCCAGCTGTCACCGCTGGCTTCCCTTCTTGATTTCCCCCTTACTTTTTCTTTTATACCTGCGTAAATTAGATAATACATCATAGTGGTAAAGAGTCAACATTCACTACGCTATGATTTATCATGCCACCAAGCAATGCTGTATAATAATTATACTAATTACCTTACCAAGCTAGCAGTTACAAAAATGATGCAGATATTAATTAACATTTATTATTTTAGCAATGAAGCTATTCATTCAAGCAAAAACCCTCAGAAATATTACCAAAAATTCTTTTGGATATTCCCATTGTATCCCGCTTCTTTCATATCCCCAAAACCTTGCCCGGACATTGCTCTGAGCAGGTGATCGCTGACCTGCTACCCAAGCTCAGCTGCTCTCCACACATGGATTTCCACCAGCAGACTACGTGATGCTCCCCAAGCTGTCATCAATCTTTCCTTGTCTCTCTAGTGCATTTGTTCCTCATGCAAGACTAACTTTTATCGTTGAACTTAATTAAAATGATTATACAATGAAAATCATGACCATGACTATATATACTAGAGTTTCACTGGAAATATACCAAGGGGATCTTTATACCCTGCTAATACATCCTTCTTCACCAGAGAAAAGAAGTCTGCTGTAGGTACAGCTTCAGCCTCATGTCCTTGCTCGTGTAAGGTCAAAACAGTTGAGATTATTCAAGGAAGTGAAATATAGGATTTCTCTTTCTGAGCATAACAGTTCTTTGTAACTCGCATTTATGAAATGAGCGTCCCAACCAGGCTAACAACCAGCCAAAAGCACAGATGGTATACTGAAATAAGGACATGTGAATCCGTGTAATCTATTCAGCATGCAGTTTGCCAGACAAACTGCAAACATTTAGTTTCAAACATCAAAACAACCAAATTCTAAATATAACATAAAGGTATTCCTAGTAATATGATGAGTGTTAAGGATTAAAAATTGTGCCTGTTTGTTTCCATGATCTACCGCTCTCTTTCTGGATTTTGAACATGCATGTTCCCTTTGCCCTTAAGTACTGATTTATCATATATATATAGCAAAAAATACAAATGAAGAAGTAGACTTCCTGGGCAGTAGCTTTCTGAACATATTGTACACTGTGACAATAGAGATCTGAAGCTGAAAGATAGCATTGAAAAGGTCCTTGAGAGATAAGAGACTTGAAGAGAAGGAGGAAAAAAAAGGGGTTTTACAGAGTAAACAATGGCTGGTGCTTTAGCAAGTACAGACAGGTGTGAGGCAGTCATTAAAAAAAAGTAGCAACACAGTAGATCTACTGAAGGAGCTGGTAAGAGTCTTCAAAGAATCAGTATTTCCTTGGCTACTGCAAGCACTTAGAAAAAACCTGAACGCAGTCAGGTGTCACAGAGAAAGAGAGCTGCTAAAAGAGAAAAAAAATATATATATTATCAGTCTTTTTCTCATATGAATGACAGTGAAAAACCTAGTTATACATACTCTGATTTAGAGCTTGAGGCCTAAAAGAGTAAACATATCCTTCGCCAAGGAAGTTTTGTATTATAGGCTTATTTTTCCTTCTAAAACAGAACGATTCTTCCCATTTTAATAATTTCCTCTTTATTCTACTAATCCAGGTTGTGCCTTCAACCACCCACACCAGAGACAGAATTCAAACCTGAATTTAAAATTTATTGGAGCCTCTAAAATAAACACAACATAATACATGTTGTCTGGCCACGAAGGTTGAAACTTTTAATGTCTGAAGCCGACTAATCAGCAGCAGCAAATGCACTCCATTTTCATCTTGCTGCTTTTATGACAAGACTTAAACTGCATTCACACTATGCTGTATGGCACTTTCAAAAGAGAAGGAAAAAAAATAAAAGCTTTGTTAATCTTAAAGAAAAATAATTTTACAATTCTATGCAAATTTTACAAATGTGTCACAGTATCAGAGGAGATACTGAAAAGCATCCTTTATTCACCTGTCAGAAAGGAAAGAATGAAAGACAGAGTGTGATCTCGCTTTCTCACAACTATTCCCTTCTTTGGCAGAAATTAAACAACTTCTGCAATATTGAGATGGTAATTAAAGTCTGCAGAGTCTCTCAACAGCTTTGGTAAAGTCTGCCAACTGTCCCACTGCTCCTAAAATGATGCTTTAAGAACACAATTTTACTCTCGCTTCTGGGCAGCATTCATCTCAGGGATCTCTAGAGGTAAAGACCAATTGTTTTAAACTGCCACACCACAAAGCCTCCATCTGTAACACCTCAGTAGAAAGCAATCTTCGAATAATTATTTTTCTCAGATAAAACACTACTGAATTTTTGAGTAGGCTTCCCAAAAATCTCAGCATCTCATTAAGAATAACTTTGCTCTCGATAGGCGCAAAAAGAAGTGCTCATCTGCTATTTTTCCCTTTCCCCATCACATTTTAGCGTTTGCATTTTACTGAAACATTTCCTTAATCCTACTGGGATTTCATTTCAATTTACGCGTTCTCTTCTGATCTCTGGATACTTTTTCAGTTCTACTAGTCCCACTAAGTCAATTTACAACTTGTCTTCCCTGTTGTTGTTTTCTCACCTTTCCTCTTTCAGTCACATCTAGAACTTTTATCCAAAATACATGGACATTCAAGCCTGTGACTTCTCATTTCTTTGTTGAATTACTCATGTCAAATCGGCACCCTGTGTCAGAGGGAAGAAGTAAGACTCTCTCAAAATCTCTGTTCATTTCTTAACCTAACAGCTGGAGTTTCAATAACAATGGCAGGAAGCACTTAATATTTTCCAAACATTAATCTACCAATTACCCCTGTGAGACAGGTAAGTGGTGTTAATCCTTTTCTGCGAGGAGAAAGAGACACAAAAAGGTTAATAGCTTGTTCAAAGCTACAAGGTGATTTACTGCCAGGGCCAGAGGAAAACTGTACGGTACCCAGGTTCCAGGTCACGGGCGCTCTGGCCATCAGACAGCCCCGGCAAGCAGCAGCAGTTCAGAGAGCTCATTTACAGCTTATTTGCCAGTGCTTCCACAGAAAAGCTAACTCCACTCCACAACTCTAGCTCTTTTTTAAAAGAGTTTTTGCAGATTTTCTTAGAACAAGCTTGAAAAATCATAACAGTGCCCAGACACTAAGTGAATATCTGAGCATAAGACAAGTTATTTGAAAAACAATAGTTTGGTTTATTCATGTTGGAAGATTTCTTGATTGAGAGCTTGGAATTTGAGTAAAACAGCATGGGTTTTGCATTAAGTCTTGTATTTAAAATTAAAATTTTGGGGAAGGGGTATTCATAATTTATTTTTTCAAGCCTTCTCCAGCAGAAAATATATTTAAGACTGGAGGAAGTTCCTTGTGGCGACAGCAGAAAGTACTCGGGGCTTCTGCTGTTGCAGGAAATTCAATATCCTGTGACTGTATCAAGCTCTTAAACACGAACATCCCGACTGGCAGAGTTACATCTTCCGACAGAAATACGGCAACAAGGCATATGGAGAATTTGGTGGTGGTGGCGGCAGGGATGAACTTTAGATCCTCCCGAGCCTCTCTGCCGCTGGCAGGGTCCCTTCTGCCAGACCTTTCCTGCTCATGGGCTGCTGTTACGACCTCCACCCTATTCCCACCTCTGCTTATGGCCAGCTTCCCTCTCTGCCCTTTGCTCTCAATGCCTGGCAATACCCAGCTCTGTTATCTTCCTCCTCCTCACCCTCCCTTTATCTCTTGGCAAACAAATGCTACCAAGCGCTGGTTGACTCAGATCCATCATCCAATCTGACTGTTTTCACTCTCACTGAACCAACTAAAACCAGAAGCATTGGGAGAATATCAAAAGAACAGAAAAAACAGGATAGTAAGAGATATCTACGCTTATACAGATTACTAAATCCTCATTTCTTATCCAGAAACTGGATTAAGTAAAAGAATTACGTGCACTTGGCACTCACTTGCAACAATTTATGGATCAAGAAGATTTAGCCCAACTTTAAGGGATAAAATAAAGAACAGCTTTAGTAGTTCTCCAAAGGTTAATAATCCACGGAGAGATGGCAAAAGAGACAGAACCTGTTGACCTCTTACCACCTCTCAACTGCAGGATGATTTAATAAGACGCTCCAGACAACAGATAAAATGAAATTCAATTTCTTTAGTGCTTGATAAGCAACACATGATATGACAGGTCAATATTGGAGCCTCTTTGTAGAGATTACCTTCACTTACACAGAGATGGCAGTGAAAACAAAAGCCTTCACAGTTGCAGAAGCAGCAAGGTGAGAGCATGCATTTCCTCAGAACTTATTCTTAATGATAATACATATTACCCTGCTGTCAATCAGAGACAAACAGACATCCTGAAGTTGTGACAAAAATCCCATCAAATGAGGCTAGTAAAGCATGACAAGTCCTTTGCTTTTGCTGCCTTTCCTCAGAAATCCTGAATGTTGATTGCAAGACACAGTTTCATTTCCATTTACCTGGTCGGGGAGGGGGAATTAGATCTCCTGACCAGCATACAGAACACACATTTGTTCGCATCAAATAGAAAACAATCAGACAAATTTTAAAGTACAAACATTTCAGATAAAGATAGTGCTTCTCGAACACCACCATACACTGTCTATACAGTACATCTATGTCTGTGTATACAATTCTTTAATTGGGGTTGGTTTTCAGATCCT